TATCCGATGCTCGGCTGCTGGGACGATGCTGGGGCGACTTGGCTTGCGTGCCGACAGAGAGGGCTTTGCCATAGGTTCGCCACCACTGGTGTACAGAGATGAAAACCAGGTTGCATTTCAGCAGGTTGTTTGATCCAGAGAATTGGCCAAGATCGGAGGCTTCTGTGTGATGCAGGCGCCACTAGGTGATCGAATCCTAACTTTCCCAGTGAACACAATCTGCAAAAGGATCATCTTGCAGAACACATTACGCGTTCTGTGATTTCATGTGCAGACTGTGGGCATGTTCTCCCTATATTCCTAGTCTGTACCATGTGCCCCGCTGGACTACCCCGGATTAAGGCAGCTCGATCATTTTATGGTGGCTTTGCTTTCTTCTTGCACTGTCCACACACACTCTGCAAGTAAGCAAGAAAAAGAATGAGAATACAGAGATCTTAGAAACTGAAATTAGTCTGTGAACTAATTTCCTTCTAAACCTCAACTGTCGAAGTCAAATCCAATCCCCTTTAAGGTCTCAAAGCAACCTGCTGGCTTCCAAAGATACTCATGTCCCTCAGCATTTGTTTCCCAACTTTGGCAAAGTTCCTTCCCCCGCCCCCCATCCCACATCTGAAAAATGTAAATCCGTTTCGTAAGACCTAGTTCCTGGCAGGAGAGGTTTAAGCTGACATACACTAGCATTCTGGGGGGTCTTCTCCTTTGGCTTTCTTTGCCTGCCACCAGAATGCAGCCCTGGAAACCTTCTCTTAAATTGAGTTCGGCCATCGAAAGCCATGCGCTTAAGTTGTTGTTGGTTTTCCTCAGTTGCATCAGATTGCTTTCCATCCAAGCTTGATAGAGTATGTTGGCTGTGCCAAGACAAATGCAAGCTTTCAAGTGTGGTTGAAAAAGTTTGAACACACCGTCATGGCATTAGTAAAGGTGTGCTGAGCTATTCCGCTACATTTAAAACTTTCCATCAGGATTCCTCACTCTGTCTCAAGAGGAGAGTTCCCTTCTTTGGATTGAAGAGCCACTGTTGAAGCAGTCCTTCTTTCATCCTGTACGCAGCCCTCTGGAGAAGAATTTTGTGCATCTGCAAAACTCTTGGGCCTTTGTTCTGTGGTTAGATGGCAGCAGCAACACCCACAGGCCACGAACCAGAAAACTCTGTGTTTGTCAGGGTGTAGCTTTGCATCTCTGCCTTTTGGAAGGGGTCACCATCACTTAGTACCGTGAAAACTCAGCTTCTGCAGAGAGGAGCCTCAGCTACGTGAAGTGCAGACCTGCTGCACAGAACCTGGTTTTCCTCCGTGTTGCTCCAGTCAACAGGAAGAATTTCAGCCTTCCCTTCACTTCATGCACTGGGCTTGTGCACAAGTTTGCTTATGGCAGAAATGTAGATTCTCGCACCCAGGAGTCAGAGGAGAGAGCAAATGTAGCCCTAAAGGGTTCTCAGGCTGGTCTTCTGAGTTTCTCCAAATGACCACATACCCTTCCCCCAGCCACCAGGCCTTGGTTGATTTTCTGGCTTTTGTGCAGTGTTTTTTCTCCTGTTTTGAAAGGGTGCAGTTCCTTTTCTAATTCTGTTATGGGCGGAAAGAGGTTTTACGATAAAATAGCTTAGTATTATTTTGGGCCCAGACCTTTGGTCTTTGACCAGAACGTGCCTTCCTCAAAACAAATGAATGATGCTCAAAAGCCCCTGGCATGTGATGGTCCAACGAGGAATGGTGCAGCCTCCTCCTATATAAGTGATTGGCCCAATTGGCTCTTGGTGGATTGGTCACAATTCCTTCCCTTTTGTGAGTCCTGCTCTCTTGTGTCACCTAGTTGGCTTTGCATTTTCTTGTCATGCCTCCATTTACTGGTCTCCAGGTTCCTTCCCTGCCCCAAGACCAACTTGGGGTCCTCCAGTGGTGTTGGACTACAATCCCCAGCATGCCTGAGGACTGGGCATGGTAGCTATGGCTGATGGGAGGTCTAAAACTCCCAGAGGGCACAACTCTGGGGAAGACCACCATCTGTCTATATATTACACTCCTATCTCAGGTTTTTCCAAGGAACCCGAGCAGCCTGCATGGTCTCCTGGAGGCCGCTTGTATCCTCACAACAACTATGTAAGTGGGATAAGCAAGTGGTCATCCCAGGGTCACTCCCAGAAGGTCCATGGCTGAGTGGGGATTCAGCCCTGGGTCTCCCCATTCCTAGCCTGACATTTTCACCCAGCCTTCTGCAACTCTCCAGACACACAAGGGTGTAACTCCTTGGCTAAGAAGGGCTGCCCTCGCCATTTCGAACTGGTTCTGCAAGCTCAGTCCAGATGAGCCCTGCAAATGCCCTTCTTCTGACCTCTGTTACTTGAGCTTCTCCACTTAGCACTGCGTCCAGGAATGCTCCCAATGTGCACCCTAAACCAGATCAACTCCATGCGCTTCCCTTCGAAGGGTATCTGAAGCTTACGCCTCTTTTCATCATGGTGTTCTAAGCCAACTCCTGCCTATTCACGAAACAAATGCAGGGCTGCACACCACAAGAGAGACAGTTTAGCAGACAAATAGTTGAGTACAGTTTTATTAGACACAGAGGATGTTGCTTTTCCAAAGCAAGGTCTGAAGCACAGCCAGGGTCAAAAGCCAGGAGATAGTCAAAGTAAAAACATCATCTGAAACCATTCAGCTCAAAACTCAGGTCAAACACACAGCAAAGTCAAAGAGAAACCAAGTTACTGAAACTGAAATTCAGGCTCTGTTTCCACACTACTCCTAGGTTATGAGCGATATAGTAGAACTATCGCCCAAGCACTGTTCAGCTGCATCACATTAAAGCGAGGTTCTCTTCCTGAGGAGCACCCAACTCCTAAGGAGTCGTCTTTGTTCTCTTGCCCAGCCATTGTTCTATTGTGGATCTGAAGGCACTGGCCTCCTCAGAGTCTAGGTGGCAGCCCGGATCCTCACACGCCTTAGAAGATGTGTTTCCTGAGTCTCCAGGGGGCATGTCACAAGGCATCACCCCTGAGGGTTCTGGCCACCTTGAGTAGTGGCGCATTCTTCAGAGAGGACACCTGTCTCAGGAAGTTCTGGCTTCTCTGAAGATGACTCCAGAGGATGACTCCCAGAATCCGTGTGACTTGAGAAAAGCCAGTCAGCTGCAGTATCTGCCCTTGGAGCCATAAAAAGCCAAACTTCCTGAATTCGTGGTAGAGTTCTCCAACATGCTGAGCCTGGGAAATGCCAGATGGGCCAGTCTGGAAAAATGTGGGGGTTGATAAGCAAAGAGTGAGATATCAAGTTGCAAGCTGGGCAACCAGGAATATGTGTCTGTTGAAAAAACCACACTTGCTCTCTAGCAACAGAGTGCTTCTTTTGTGAAGGTTAGATGCAAATTAATAAGGATTTACATTGTCCAGGCTGTAGCCATTCTTTAGAAGGCTGCTAATAAAAGCAAGCCTCAAAGTACATCAGTGTAAATGCACATCAGAGTCTCTTAAGCAATTAGAAACTCATTTCCAGGAACCCCAGAATAAATAGGACATTTCTCCTCCCAGCCAAAGAAAGAAGGCTCTGATTGATACATCTGCTCTAATGATGATTGCGCTGTCTTTTGAAACAATAGAGGACGCTGGGGACAAAATTGTGTGGGTCCCCCTCCCCTCCCAGCTGTGCTGAAGATAAATTTGAAATCGTTGCTAAACAGGTTCCAGTTTGTTGGTTCTAGTGGTGTCGATTACTACTTTTACTTAATTTAAAATGTATATCCCGTCTGTTGTCCTAAAGGGGAATTCAAGGCTACAAACAAACAGACCAAGATCATCAATATTTAAAACAATGCTTAAAATCCAAATGGTTCTGAACCTCAATAAAATTATAAAAATGGCAGTTCTGCCTAGGGGCTAAAAACGCAAAAGACTGAAGCAGCTGTTGATAAAGATAAATCATTGCGTCTGCTCCTGGGTGCCGCAGAAACTCAGATTCATCCCCCTCCCGGCCTGATCCCTTGGGCTTTTTACTGGGGCAAATTATTACAGGGGGAATAAAATCCAGTTTGAGGAGATGGGCTTGGTTTTGTGCACCTGTTCTTACTGCACCGGTGGCGACTCTCTTACATGTCCCACCTCCTTGCCAAGCTTGCTTGGTTGGGACCAGGGAGAAGGTCTGGAAGTCAGGCATGCGTTGCAGCTCCTTGCAACAGCGGCAGCAAGACCTTCTCCTCTTGAAAGGCACTTCAGAAGTTTGTAAGAAGCATCACTCGCTTTTGTTACTCAAGCTTGACATTTGCCTCTGTCCCCTTTCCTCTCCCGCAGCCCCGTGGTTGCGTTCTCTCTGAAGTGCTTTCTGTGAAATGTTCAACCTTTTAGAACTGCCCTGAGCAATGATGGTTCTGATTTTATGCACTGTGCTGCTCTTCTGGGAACTTTGAACTTCTTCCAACCCAAGGGCTGAATTCTGTATTGGGAGCTGGAAGGGTTGTGTGGGCTGAAGGCAAAAGGGGTGACCAAAAAGTGCCAGCCTGTTTCAGCATAAAACCCATCCTTTTACTAATTAGGAACGGGAAGGGCACTGCGGTCTTCCAGAGTTGGGGTGGTGGTGGGGAACTGCTCAGATGCTGGGAAAACACTTGCTTTGGCAGTCATGGGTAAGGGGTGAGGCCACGGGAAGGAGGGAGGGCCCACTGGGAATCCCTGGAGTGCCAGATTCGGCCCCCTTGCAGGCTAGATCTGGTGGCTAGAATGGAGATCCCACATTCATAGGTTAGACATTGGATGGCAGCTGCTTTCCTACTGTAGCCTGAACTTTTAGAGGGGCTCTTCGTGGTGCTCAATCAATGCAGGGGCTTGGTTCAGCACCTTGGCCAGCCCTCTTGAAGTTCAGGCTGACACCCGGTGTGGATAATCTGCTCCACTGAGTTCGTATCCCCCTGCCCCCATGAGTGCGAGGATGCAGCCGTCTTGATGGGTGTGAGATTACCTTGCCGTGTCCACTGCGAGTGACCCTAGTCTGACCGGATTGTTTCCCCAGGCTTGGCGGAAGCGCTGGTTCGTGTTGCGCCAGGGCCGCATGAGTGGGAACCCCGACGTCCTGGAGTACTACCGCAGCAGCCATTCCAAGAAGCCCATCCGCGTGATCGACCTGAACGAATGCGAGGTCGTGAAGCACTCGGGGGCCAGCTTCATCAAGAAGGAATTCCAGAACAACTTCGTCTTCATGGTGAAGACCACCTACCGCACCTTCTATCTTGTGGCCAAGTCTGAGGAGGAGATGCAAGCCTGGGTGCACCACATCACGCAAATCTGTAACTTCGGGCATTTGGAAGATGGCACAGGTGAGCAGACGCCATACGCTGTACATCTGGGGAAAGCCGGCCGTGGTGAATGTCTCGCTCAGGGAATAGCGTGAGGTCTGCTCCTGTCCAAGAGCATTTGCATGTGGAGAGCTGCTCAAAATAGCTCTCTTTAGAGCAAAACAGAAAATAGCTTTAACCATGGGCTGGAAGAGGTGCTGCTTCAAAAGTATGGGATCCTGCCTGTGGAAGTGCAGCTCCTATCGGCCTCAGCTGGTGTGGATGATAGTGAGGGATTATGGCAGAGAAGGTCTGGAAGGACACACGTTCCCCACCCCTTCTTTTTTGAAAGTTTGCTTTCCTTTCACTTTCTGGACAAGGTCTGTTTTAGTGTCACGATGCTCAGCTTGAGATCCACATCCCCCATGCCGGAAAAAGGAAATATGCTGAGCATTTTGGTAGTGGCAAGTTTCCAGGGGCAGAACTGGCTGTTCCTGAGCCTAGATGGCTTATTTTGGTCAGGGCAAGAGTGGGGGTTATGTGTGCACACAGGGGCAAGGGGAGCACCTCCCCCCCCCCCGGTGCCTTTTTAAAATTTTCTTCCCATGGACACCGATGAGAGGGGGACGAAGTGCACCAGCAACAAAGTGAGATAGTTCCTGGGCTGGACTGGGGATGTATCTCTGGGGAGAAATGGGACTCCAGATCTAGTGGAACCCACTGCTCATGGACAGTGATGTAGTGGAACCAGGGTGTTGATCGGATGGCAAAGAACAGCGCAACATCTCCAACTTACAGAGGTGTGTTAGGATGAATGTCCTCCAGGAAGCCTGCTCCTTGGATGCCCTGCTCAGCTCTCGGGAACTCGAGGCTGCGGCTTCCTCGATGGATTCATCCGATCACATGTTAGGCTTGGTCTTCTTCTCTAGCACGATTGTCTTCCACGGAAAGGCATGCCTTCTCTTCCTGCACCCAAAGCACAACAGCTCCAGTGTTGTCAGTTGTGCTGCCAGGGAAAGTTCTGGCTTGATTTGCTTTTGCTCACCTGTCGGTGGGCCCAGGATGTTCACAAGGAGCGTCTCCGGCACCATGTTTTGGCCACATCAAGTGGCTTCCCGCCAGCTCTCTCTGCTGTCCAGCTTTCACACCCCTCCATACTGATTGGGAATACAGTAGTGTGGATGACCTTGGCCTTGGCCCTTGGCGAAACAGGGATGGAGCACTGGCTTTCTTTTCATTAGTGGGGTGCTGGCTTTCTCTCTTTAATACAGTATCCAGCAGTTAATATTACCGGGGTGGTTTGCAAGACCAAATCACTGCAGAAACGGAAAAGGTGTCTGTCGGTGCCTGAAGAACTTCAGAACAGGTGCTCACATTTGCATGCCGCCCCATAGCCAGAAGGTGCTTGAGGATGGAATGCTGGGAGCAGGGGGTCACAACCAAGAAGGCCCTGTCCCCAGTTGCCTCCCCACCCGAGATGGCGGTGGGGAGAGCACCCAGATCAGGTGCCCTCATTCGATGGATGCCCTCAGTGCGATGTGGGCAAATGTGAGAGCAGACGTGCGCTTGGGTGAACATGCCTAAAACGCGTTGCAAGCCCTGACTGAGCTTTTCTCGAACGAGAGCCGTCCAGATGTGCTTGAGTTCAACTCCTTCTGTTTCCAAAGGCCACCAAGTAGTGGAAAGGCTGTTCTAGGGCTCTGTTTTCAGTACAGAATGAGGGGTGAATTTTTGTAAGGCCAGCCAATCAGTAAAGCACAGAATAAGTTCAGGGCAGGAAAAAGAGAGTGAGCGAGATGTCAAAACCAGCACTTCTGAGCTGCAGAGATCAATTCCACAGTGATGTATTTTCTCAGCTCAGATCGCCATATCGTTCAGGTGCCAGGGAATGCCTGGGCCTCAGGAACTTGCCTCATCCTCTCATCTTTTAACTTTTTAGATTCTGGAAAAGATGCTCATGCAGACTAGGTGGGAGCACACGAGGTCGTAAGAATGGTCCTCTGGCATCAGACCCCTGGGCCACCAAGGCAAGGTGTGTGAGCCTTGTGCCATGGTGCTGATCCCAAGCTGGACCTGATAGCGGTGTTGGCCTCCCATCTAATTTGGCACTTCTGAATGCCACCGCTGTCCTTGGACAATCTGTGGCAGGAGCTGGGGAGCATTGGTGGTGCCTCCTGCCATTCCTTTTGCCCTGCTCCCCCCACCCCAGTCCCACCCAGCCTGTGCGCAGTCTCCTGAACCAGCTTGCCGCCTGTGGACGTGGCAGAGCAGACCGTGTGTTGCATGTGTTCAAGCGTGTTTCAGTTGCAGCTTCTGGGTGGTGGGGGAGCCAAGGGAACATTTGATCCTTTCCATCAGGCAGCAAAATGTCTTGGGACAGTCCTGCTTCCAAAAGCTCTGGCTCTGTTTGGCCTCCAGAGCAAGGTTCCCTGATGGTTGTAAGGTCCGGGGTGTGGGCAGCAAAAAGAAGTGCCAAGACCCAGATAATGCAGTCCATAAACTATTCGACCTAAGCCCGTTGTTCAGCCAAATTCAGGTCATTATCCAGAGCAAGCCAAGGCCAAACAAGGAGCGAACAGGCAAGCGAATACAGCCCGGATAGCAGAGCACAGTCAAAACAAGCCAGAGGTCAGGTGCCAAGAAGATAGCATGAGGGCAGGAATGCCTTGGAGTGGGAGCAAGGTGTGGGAACCGGAGTGACAGCATCCAGACACCATGGAGAAATCCAGCGCACCAGAAGCCGGTGATGCTGCAGCCGCTCCTGGAGGGAAAAGCCCAATAGCTCTTCCCCCAGGGCTCCCGGGTGGCATTCATGAGGGCCCTGGCAGCTGCCACAGAGTCTGGGCATGACCCTGCAACTGCCTGGGCTGTCATTCTGGTGTTTGGCCAGCAGGAGGAGTCCTGCTGCTGCCTGGATCCTGACAGTGGTTTGGGGCTTGGCGGACACATTTGCAGTTTTGAGAAAGTCGTGGGCACTTAGTCATGAAATGACTACCCAGGTGGGTGTATCTTCTCACGTAGCTCTCATTTCCTAAAAGGCTAGAAAAGAAGAAAACTTCCCCAAGAACCAAAGTGCAAAACGGGGGTGGGGACCCAAAATGCAAAACCAGCCTTTTGATCTCAAAGAGCGATGGCAAGGGGGGGTAACACTTGGTGTTGCATATGGCTTTTTATAAAATAACCTTAAAATAAGAAGCAGGGGTGCCACAAAGAATCTCCCCTGCAGTTCTGGTGGAAGACAATTCCACCTAAGTGGGGCAACCACAGAAAAGCCCCTGTGATGTATTTTGCAAAAGAGATGTGGGATTCAGAGGGAATAACTGAAGCTGTTTTTTACCTGGAAGAAACAGAACCAAGGGAGTAGAAATGAAAACCTTGCGTTCTAGACAGAAATGTATTTTTTCCAATGAGAATTTCCAAATCTTCAGCTTTTGGCTTGCTAGGACTGTAAAATTGACCAAAAAGAAAGTCCAGGGTGACATTTCCCAATGAAAATAAAAGATTCAATTCTCATCTTGCTCCAGCGAGAAGAAAATATTCTAAAATAAACCTGCACTAAAATCACTGACTTAATGTGTAGAGCGAAATCGCTCTAAACATTTTCTGATTTGTTCTGCATATGAGAAACATCTAAATCTTTAAAGGGCATCTGGTTTTGAAAAGACAAGATTTCCAATTAAAAATTTCACGGAGATTAGCACTGTGCGCTTTTCATTTTTACGCTGCATTTAAAGTATGCTTGGAAATGAGTCATCTTGCAGATGGCTGCAAGAAATAGTTCTGTCTCTTAAAGAGAGAGGAGGATTTCCTAATCTTGTACCACTTTAATTTGCTTTTAGGCTTGGGGGATGTGGCCGAATGTCAGATTTGTTTAGCCCAACGTGATTAGTGTTTGAGGGAATAATTTGCTAGAATGGCTTGCATCACCCTTCCCCAACCTATCACTCCATATGTTTTGGACTACAACTCCCAGCATTCCTGTAAATGGGCCATGAGGACTTGGGTGGATGGGGTTGAAGCCGCTTCCACTCCTTCCAGAAGGCCTTGTGGTCGTTGCTGGGTTCAGACCACCAGGGAAATCACAGTGCAGTGTACAAACCATAGAAACAAAACTATAGAAGCCATTGTTTCTAATCGTTCATTCAAGTCATTTTATTTATTCAATGTATATGCCACCCCACTAGCCATTAAATTAGAAATAAATATCCCTCTTTTAAAATCATGTTCCATTGGTAGCAGCATGAAATAACATAAAAGACCTAAACATTTGCTTGTCGGAATATCTACTCAATGGATTAGTTGGTGCCTAAAAGCCAGCAGAGTCGGTGCAAACCAGACCTCAAGCCCAGGGCTCACTACACAAGGCCTTCGACCCCTCGCTTTACTGAGGCGCCTGCTTCCGGATCCTTCGCAGGATTACACTCAGCTCCTTGACACATGTTTTCTGCAGAGAGTTCCTTCTCTACCTCTCTGCGTATTTCCTTATCTAACCACAGGGTGGCACCAGTGTGCAGCAGAATTGAGAAAATACACACGGCCTGCCTCCCAGAGAGTACCACATTTTCCTCCAGCTATAAAAAGCCACAGAAATGGTTGCAAAACACAGGAGAGGTCCTAGAGGAAGGAGCCCTTATATGAAGCACCTGCAGGCTGCTGTTTGCGATTGCATTATAAATGCCTCGTGCAGCCAATCCTGGAGAACCTCTTTGCTCTTTCCGTAGCGAACGAGTATACATAATTCATTGCCTGTAGTCGCTTTGTCAGGCATTTGTTCTGCTAGGGGAATGTGCAGAATAGCACCGGCTTCTGTCCTCGGAGCCCAGCTTCCAATGGCAGCACAGTCCAAAGAGACACTCACTGTGCACTTGCTGTCCCAGCTGGGTCACTGCAGAGAGCAATTGCTAATGGGAAGCAGGAAGAGCCAGAAGGGATTAGCACTTGTCAGTTCGGCTCCGAGAGCAGCTTTCTGCCAGCCTCCCCTTCCCCCCTGCTTTGCATTTCATGCCTGTATTTGCAGACAGGCAGATGTGAGCTGTATGTGC